TGACAGTTTCTGCTGACAATCCCCCGGCTCTGCTGTGAGCGCGTCGTGCTGTGTCGAGTGCAGCTGCACCCCCAGGAATCAGGAGGAACAGCTGAAGCCGCTTGCAGTGCTCTGCAGCCTGGCCGGTCCTCCTGCTCCCTTACATGGCAGAGTCTGGGACTTGAACCCGTTTCAGGATGAGGAGGAGCTCCGTCATACAGACCCCCTGGGGCCTCTCATGGGTGGTTCCAGCAGGCGGAATCCAGAATCTGGTTGCTTTAAACCCGCCAGGGATCCCAAGGGCTCCTGCGAGCAGTAGCCAGGCCTGCTGGCGTTGTCAAAATCCAGTCCGGGACCCGTGTCCGCCACCTCCGGGAACTTGCTGGAAATGCCCATTCCCAGGCCCCACCGGAACTGCTGACTTCGAGTCTCTGGAGACACTGCAGGTGAACCCCTAAGGGGTTCAAGGTCAGGGCCACCATCCAGCCTGCGACGGGGCCCCGTTTTCCTGTCCGGCCGCATGGCTAAGGGACAGACCACCCCATTTACCCCACTGCCTCTCCCCACGGTGCCCAGGGCCGGTGGGCGTCCGGTCGCCTGTGCCCCCCACTGCCATGTGGCACGAGCACCAGAGACTGGTCGCTGAGAATGGCCACGGGGCGAGTGGTGGGAGTTTGGGGCGCTTGTGTGGGGTCGGGCCTGCCCCTCTCGGCCCCCGCCTGCTCCCGCTGTCCTTAGCAAAGGCCTCGGCTCACCGGCAGGCCCAGGCCGGCCCGGCAGTCTGGATCTCGCTGGCTGCAGCATTTTCTGCTGGGCAGAGACGGTTCCGGCCGGGCAGCTGCAGCTCTGCAGGCAGGGGGCTCAGGCTGGGTCCCCAGCATCACACGGTCGCCTGAGCACCGCAGGGTATGGACCAAAAACAAGCAAACAAAACGTAATTATTTAAGGTACAATTTCAGAGGCCAGAGCGATTTCAGGGAGGGTGTTTGCCTTGCACGGGTCCAACCCAGGTTCAATCCCCAGCATCGCATACAGTCCTCTGAGCATCGCCAGGAGTAATTCCTGAGCACGGAGCCAGAGGTAAGACCCGAACATTATTGGGTGTGACCTCGAAACAAAACCCCAAAAAAGTATAGTTTTAGGGCCTGGAGAGACAGTACAAGAAAGTCTTGCCTTGCGTGCAACCAACCTGAGTCCATCCCAGCGCACCACGCCCCGCCAGGGCTAATTCCTGAGTGCGGAGCCAGGAGAGACCCCCAAACATCGCTGGGTGCACCACCCCACCCCCCAAAAAAAGTATAATCTTACATATCGAAAATTATTCTGAGACTTACCTGGCATTTTTTAGAATCTCAGATTTCAGAAACAAGTTCTGCAGTATGACATTGCTTCCACAAGATGGAGCTACTTCCAAAGAAATTCGTGGACACAGGTGACGCTGACTCAGACCGGTCCACGGGAAGCTGCATCTAACCCTCCTCCCTCTTCCTAGATGAGGCCTCCCTGCCTCCCCCGCCAGCCTCTTGCCGACTGCCTCTGCGCTCACCCCGGAGTTGCTCCTCTGCATTTGAGCACTGAGTCCTGAGTCCCAAAGGTTGTCTGGCCACAAATCAGCTGATGGCAAAAGTCCCTTTCTTGACCTTTACTTGGCATTTGGTGGCTCAGAACGTGATTCCCCGGCCGAGCCGCTGTCCAGAAGGGGGACTAAAGAGGTTTCCGAGCTCTGACTTCTCTGGCTCATCCAGAGAATCTTCTACGCCCTGGTTTGCAGAACCGGCTCTGAGGGGAAATGAATCAAGTGATTTCACTATTTAGAAGTTTGTAAAGAAGAGTGAGACCCCAGTGATTTGCTTGTGACTTCACTCTGGGTAAAGTAGCATCACATCCCGCTGGCTGGAGGCTTGTGGGTGCTCAACGCCTGTGAGCCCTCGGCTGGATCCCGGTACCATGTAAACCCTGAGAACTGCTAGGCGTGACCCTGGTGGCCCCGATAAAGGATCAAAGATAAAAGGAAACTAAAGCAGCAAGCCTCTTAGCAAAACACCAAGAAGCCGAAACTACATAGCGAATTTACTTTGGGAGTTGTCGATAACCTCAAATACTTGCCCTGCAAAAACCAGAGCTATTCAACCAAAATTAGAATATCTAAAATAATCTGAGAAAGAAACAACAGGGCCAAAGGGGTTTTGGTCCTGCGGGAGGGCACTTGCCTTGCACCCAGCTGACGGGATGGATTCCTGGCATCCCACAGGGTCCCCAGAGCCCCGTCAGAACCAGAAGTCACCCCTGAGCACCACCAGGCATGACCCTCTAACCACAAGAAAATAAAACATAGGCATTAATTAAGAGAAAACTACAACAAATCCAATAGCAGGTCTCTGTGCCGATATTCTCCTAAATAATAAACGCAGACAGGAGAAGTAAGTGCCCAGGGTCCACGTACGGGAACTTCACTGGAAACACACAGGCCAGTTACATGGGTGAGAACTATTTCGAGCAACTGGATGACCGGCAGGAAAATTACAGTTACAGAAATGGACTCACCCTGAAACTTAGTGACCAAAGAAAGTATTTCTTTGTCCTAGGAATGTCTCGGAAACTGCCCAAACCAGGGACAGCTTTCATCAGGAGCACTGGCCGCGTCCCCCAGCTTACCAAGGGCCCGGAGGGTGAGTGAAATCAAGACGCTTTTCCAAGTGCAGGGCCTGGGGGTCCCCGGGGGAGCACTGAATGCGGCTTCCGGCGGGCGCGTGTGACCGGGACGGGCCCTTCCCGTCCATGCGGGCAGTTACACGCACATGTGACAGCACCGTGTCGCCCCACCTCAGCTCAAAGAGGAGCCAGTCAGGGCTGGAGCCGTGGTACAACAGGGAAGGCGCTGGCCTTGCACGCCACTGACCCAGGACAGTGCCCTGAGCCCAGCAGTGACCCCAGAGTGCCATCAGGAGCTGGGGCGGGGGTGGCAGGGCAGAGCCCAGACTGCAGCAGTCTGGCCCTTCCCCTGGGAGACAGGAAAGCTCCCACAGCGCCCCAGTGTCCCCAGCTCTCACAATGGAGCCCCCTCATGAGCGGGGTCCCAGCTGGGATGCGGAACCGGACACCAGGCCAGTGGGGCTGAGTAACCGGACCCCAGCGCCGGGCACAGCCTGTGAAATGATCTGCCTCTGACTCACTGGCCACTCCCCTTCATTCAACACCACAGAACTGTCCGGGCGGCAGACGCCTGCGAGACAGAGGACGCTGCAACCGGGGACTGGGCACACACTCCAGGGGGTACTAAGCACACACTCCCAGGGGACTGGGCACACTGGACCCGGGGGCAGCAGAGTGTGGCCACCCACACACATCTGCGAATTCCAGCGGCTTCTTCACTGAAAGCCCGCACCCCCGGTGTCTAACAGGATGAACCCGGGCTGGCACCAAGGCAAGTGCCCTCCCTGCCGTCCACAGCTCCAGCCCCGAGCTGAGGTACTGGCAAGTCTGCCCGGGCGACCGTCCCTACAGCAGGATTCTGTGAACGACGCCCTGCCCGGCCTCGGCACTCAAGCCACTTCCTCGGAGGCCAAAAGGTCCTTCCAGACAAAGCCACAAAACGCTTCTTTTATTTTTCTAATAAGACTAAATTTATTCAATACCCTAGTAAAGTTTTGATTATAAGTATCCAACGGTATAAAAAGTACAAAACAGGTGTAGATTTCTACGATATTAATACAAAGTGCATGACTACATACAGTACGTCCTACGGGCAGAGGCGGGAGGCTGTGGTTCAGGTCTAGTAATAAATAAATAAATACAGAAGTCGAGATGATCCGTATCATAGTATATTCTACCACCAAAATACTGCAGCCAAAATGTACAAAAAAAAGGGGAAAAAAACCCAACAAAACCTTTTCCAAGTAACTCAGGAGGATGAGATCGCGGCGGGGCGCGTGGCCGAGGCTGCAGGGAGATGCCCGCTCCCCGTCTGCCGACGGGGCTGGGGCTTCTCTCCGGAAGGAAAAAAATATAAAATTTCAACTTTAGCTTAAGAACTATAAAACTATAGGGTGCCCATAAAAAGTGGCTCACTCCTTACTGTTCATTTATACTATCCAATTTTTTAAATCCAGTTTAAAAAATAAGCACTAAGTTTCTCTAAGGTAGGCAAATGATCCCATCTTAAAAAAAGTCTTACCTGGCGATACATTTTTCCTGAAGTTTTAGAAAAGAGGCAACGAGAGCACTTTGGTCTGGGTCCGAGCCAGAAGCTTCTCGGGGAAGATTCTGGAACCGAGCTCCACGCCGAGGACCATCCGGCCACCGGGCGTGCTCGTGTCCGGCCGCCGTCCTCCGAGGAGCCCGACCCGAGCCCGCGCCCCCGCTCAAGCAGGCGCCCCCCTTCCGTTTCGTAGAACTGTCCTCGAATACAGTGAACACCCCCAGCGCGAAGAGGCTGAAGCCAGTCGAGACACGCGGGACGCGGAGACGGCCCCGCCGGGGGCGCGGCGTCGCTTTGGTACCAGGCGCGGGGGCAGCCCCCCGCCGGCCGGCGCCCCGAGCAGCTTCGCATCCGCTTCTTCCGGAATTTCATAGACACTAGAACTCTGCTCACGTCCACCTGAGGAGGCGACGGGGGCTCCCCGCGCCCTGCAGACTGAGAGAAGACCCCCAAGACCCTCCGGAGCGGGGCCCGGCCCGACGGTCACTGGGGGGTGGAGGGAACCGAGTGTAGCCAGCCACCTTACAGACGCCCCGACACCAATTCCAAAGAGAAAGACTAAAACTACAGACGCGTATCATACAACAGACCTGCGCTGGCCCTGAGCGTCCGGAGAAACCCGGACTTTAAGGAGCACTTGCCAGCAGCACCCGGCTTCCCGCAGCGGGACACGGGACACTCGGCGGCGGCGGCGGCACGCGCCCACCTCTCCTCGGGGCTGCAGGGCTGGGCGGCGGCCCCCCGCCCGACTATTCTAGAACTGTCTTTTGGCAGAATAGCAGGCGTGGAGCTGGAGGCGAGGGTGGTCCCGCTGCCGGTCTCGTCACCACTCCTGCGGGGGCGCGGGCAGCGGCTCCGGCCCGGGCGCCTCGGGCTTCTCGGCCGCCGCCTTCTTGTTGCCACAGCAGGGCTTGAAGAGGTGGGTGTCGATGAGGACCTCCCCGAACCGGCCTTTGTAGATGATCCCGCAGCACACCTTCTGCCTGCAAGGACAACAGCGGGCAGCGCGGCCCACGGTGAGGCGGGGGGAACCGCGCTGCCCCCCCGCGGCACGGCCTCCCCGGGGCCCAAGGTCTGGCCGGAGCAGCCCCGAACCCGGTCCGGAGACCCGACAGTGGGCGCGGCACTGTCCCCTGCCCAGGCTGACCCGAGTTCCAGCCCTGCCCACAGAAGTCGGCCCGAGTGCTCCCCGAGCACTGAGCCAGGGGTAACCTGGGGCAGGCTGGCTGTGGCTCCCAAACCAAGCAGTCTTAGCCTAACACCGTCAAACAGACACGAGGGCACAAGGGATCGCAACCGGGGGTCGCGTGTCTCCGAAAGGGAGAAACCCTCACTGCTGGTGACAGCCCCAGCCCTCGGCCCCTCGCGAATTCCTGTTCCAGGTCTGAGAAGGAAAGGCGGGTCTGTGCGGGCCACACGGCCCTGGACAACACTGGGGATGTGCCCTGGGAATACCCCACGGCAGAGCAGCCGCCGCACGGCTGGCCAAGGGTCCGAGGGAGCCTCCCCGGGCTGCACGCCTGCCGTACAAGTCTCTCAGCCGCCCCCCTCAACCTCCCCTGTTAAGACAATGTCACTTTGGTGACAAGGTTCTACTGGGCCAGGGCGGCTCCTGTCTCGTTCTCAGTCTGGGTGGACTTGGGGTCTTGAGGGCATGGGAGGGCCCAAGAGAAAGAACGTTCCGGAGGCTCAGCCCTCAGAAGCCGGCCTTTCCCCGGCAGCTCCCGGCACCGAGCCCCGTGCACCAGAGCCGGGGCAGGGGACACGGTCGGGGATTCCCCCTGACCCGGGGATGCTGCCACAGCATCGCGAGCCCGCCACTGAGGGACAAGCTTTTGCCTCCGCCCCGTGTTTCACTTCAGCTTGACGGGGTGGCGTGGACCCGGCATGGGCTCCCTCCCGGCAGCCAACGCGGGGCTGTGAGGCCTGTGAGGCCAAGGAGAGGCCGGCCAGCCCCGACTCAGCGCCGCCGCTCTGGCCCCGGAACTATTTTGCTCGACTTGTAAAATCTATTGGGTTCATTTATTGGCTTTTCGGTTTACAGCTGGCGATGCTCAGGGATTACTCCTGGCAGTGCTCAGGGGACGCCCCCAGAGATTAAAGCCGGGTCGGTTTTAATGAGCACTTGCGAGGCAAATGCCCCACTCTCGCTCCAGTCTGTCTGATGTATTTATTCTGTTTTTTTGAGCCACACCTGGCGGTGCTCAAGGCTTCCTCCTGGCGGGCTCAGGCTCACTCCTGGCTTTGCACTCAAGGATCACTCCTGACAGGGATCGGGGGACCACATGGGGTGTCTGGCGTGCGGCTTTGAAAAGCAACTTTAAATCTGAAATCCGGGTCAGAGCAATAGTATGACAGGTAGGGCGTTTGCCTTGCACGCATCCTACCTGGTTCAATCCCCGGTATCCCGTATGGTTGGAGCACTGCCAGGAGTCATTCCTGAGTGCAGAGCCAGGAGTAACCCCTGAGCATCGCTGGGTGCAACCAAAATAATAGAAATAATAATGAAATAAAATCGAAACCTAGCGATTCGTCCTCAGAACTCCAACCCGGGGTCTTTCTTGCCTGTGGCTGTGTGTTACTGACTGTGAGACGTGCAGAAAAGCTGCGCTTCTTTCCTAGCTGCAATGTCTATACCCTCACTCGCAAGCTTTGCCACCACGCCTCTCGGCTGAGTCGTTGTCCCTTGGACCCTGTCGCGCCAAGACCTCACTCGGCCGCTGCTTCTACTCCTCCCACTGTGCCGAATGGCGGCACCCGGGGGCCACACGCAGTGGATTTGAGCGGGGTCCCGGCTGGGTGCGAGGCCAGCGCCTCACTCCCTGAATTCTCCCAACAACCGACCCCCAACTTGTTTTTAGCGTCTGATTTGCTTTGGGGCCACGCGCAGCTGTGCTGAGGGACCACGCTGGCAGGGCCCGGGGGACCATGTGCCGAGACTAACCCCAGCCGGCTGCGGGCGGCAAGTGCCCAGCCCACTGGACGCTCTCTTGGGTCCTTGTTATTTCTCTTCCCAAGCAGGAAGTCTCAACACCTTCTCTCCCAAGTTTATTGGCACTCCTTTCCTCTGCGGTCCGGCCCCGCGCTGCCTTGCCAGCTGACCGCTGAGGGTCCTCAGCGACTTGCCCTCTCAGCGTCCTCTACTTCAGTGCCAGGCTTCTACTCCGGGGTCTCACACACACGCAACAGGTCCTCACCCGAGCGACATGCCTCGCTCAAGGCTATCTCTGAAGCTACGTGTGCATCTTCCAACACACGCACACACATCTATGCCCCAGGGAAGCAGCTCACTGCAAGACGGACATCACCCCAAGTCCGACTTCTGGCCCACCACACCACACCGGTGTGGCCCTAGGGGACCTGGGGTCCCTATTTCTGTAGAAAGGGGAGGAGGCTTCTGACCGCTGCTGTGGGGCGAGCCGCAGACCCCTGCATCAAACACCTCGGGGTCCCTCTACTCCAGTGAAGAATCATGGGTGTTGGTTGGCATTGGTGGTGCCCCGGATGGGACCCGGCACTTCCGTCTTAGCATGGGAAATTTGGTGGAATAGATTCTCCCCTGCCAGGGAATCCCAGCCCCTCGGCTTAGGTTTTCTTTCCGATGAATTTCCGCGGGGGAAGCACCGAATCCCACTCAGCCCTCGCGAGCCCCCGAGCGCGTCTCACCGTTTCCAGTAGGTGAGATCCAGGAAGGAGAACTCGGGCGTCCTGCTGGAGCCAGAAGGCAACTCCGTGTCGGAGCCTTCGTCCGACTGGTTGCTGTAGCAGGGGGACTGGGCGGGGGAGGCACTGGAGGTGGTGCTGTGGGCGTCGGAGTCTGCGGAGACAGGACACTCGTCAGCGGCCGGAGACCGGACAGACCGTGGGCCTTCACCACCCGGCCGGCCGCCTCTCCCCCGGCAGCTGACCCCTCCTCAGGGCAGGGCTGGGCCCAGGGCCTGTCACATGTGCAAGGCAAGAGCTTCACCTCTTTTTTTTTTTTTTTTGCTTTCTGGGTCACACCCGGCCATGCTCAGGGCTGACTCCTGGCTCTGCACTCAGGAATCACTCCTGGCGATGCTCGGGGGATGCTGGGAACCGAACCCGGGTTGGTCGTGTGCAAAGCAAACACCCTCCCTGCTGTGCTATCGCTCCCGCCAAGACCTTCACCTCTTGAGCAACAGACCTCGCCTAGAACAAAAACATTTTTTAATTTTTATTTTATTCTGTTTCTGCTTGAGAGCCACACCCAGATCTGCTCAGGGCTCACACCGGGCTCTGCACTCAGAATTCGCCAGCTCGGGGAAACAGAGGCTGATGGGGTCGGACCCAGGCTGGCTGCGTGTGAGGCGAACGCCCTCCCAGCTGTTCTACCGCTCAGGCCCAAGACTGCAAACACGTCTGGGAGAACAACTGAGCTCGGCTCTCAGGGTGAGAGAAAGGGCTCTTCCCCGCCTGCTCTCAGGAGAGAGGTGGCCGCCGAGTGTCTCATCCAAGCTCAGACACAGGAGGGCAGGCCTGAAAGGCCACTGCCACCTGCCATCAAGGGGACAGGCTGGTGGGCACGAGCTGGGCCGGGAACTCTGGGGCGTGGCACCCCCTGCCCGGCACAGGGCGAGGCGGCAGGAACCCACGGGCGAGGAAGCTGCCACTTGGCCAGACAGCCCCTGAGATGCAGGGAGCCCAGCACAGCACAGAGGGTCCAGACACCAACCAGGGGCCCAGAAAGCCCGCAAGTCAAGGAAGAGACTGCCCAGTGTCCCCGGGACGTGACCCATAACGGACAGTCTCCACCGGCAGCTGCGCCCGCAAGGATGCAGGCGGCGACGGGGACCAACAGCTTCTGCCTCAGAGTCCTGTGATGCCAAAGGGAGAGGCACAGCTGCGCGGCGGCCCTCTCTGGGGCGGGCAGCCCCAACGGCCACCTCCCTGGACGCAGCGTGTCCTCCGCGTTCACTCTTGGCCCTGCCCGGCTCTGCCTGGCTAACGTGGAGCTGAGACTCTCGTGCCCTACATGACACAGCCAGACCCACCCTGGTCTCCGCGGCCTCCACCACGCTCAGCGGACACACCCCGGGCCATTCCTCCCACTCTCCCTGTGTGTGCGGCTCAGGCTCTTCGCGTGTTCCCCATCTGCACATGCCCAGGTGTGTGTGTGCGCTCGGGGCGGTCCTCCCCCAAGAAGCAACACGCCTGCACTTCTCCAGGACGAAGGACGCTCAGCCCCCACGAGGTGCCCCAGAACGGTTCAGCCACACCCCACGGCTCGTCCACGCGGCAGCGACCATGAGAGCCTCACAGGAGAGGCCCTGGGCAGCCGAGGAGGCGCCTCACGTCACCGCACATGGACTCACGAGCCCAGCCAGCCATGGCTGACCACACTCCAAACCCCACACGCACCCCCTCCGGGAAGGACGGTTACGTCCATCGGCACTTGCCCTCGGAGCAACAGAGCTAACAGCGCAAACGAGGATGACAATCGCCAGCCTTCACGGGAGCAGTTGGGCCCAGGGCCGCCTGCCTCTCCCGTCCTCTCTGACAGACCCTGCCCGGCTCTGACTGTGCCCCTGCTCCTTCCTGTCCCCGCCCCTGCCCGCAAACGGCCCCTCCCAGCCCCCCCAGGCCCGATCCCTGAGCACACGGTCCAGAGCAAGCCCCGAGCACCGCTGAGGGCGGCCCCACAACCAGACAAGGAGACCACGCAGGACAGACATCGCAGCTTTCAGGGGCATGCCGGGGGGGCCCTGGCCTTGCACGTGGCCGACCGGGGTTCAACTCCCCGCCCCCCCGTTGGTGCCCTGGCGTGCTAGGCGTGGTTCCGGAGCACAGAACCAGGAGTGACCCCTGGGCACCACCGGGCGTGACGCCCAAACGAAGCAGAACAAGCGTGTCCTGGTCTAGGAAGGGGGAGCGCAGCCGGGCCCTGCGGGAACGCCCAGTGCCGAGCTGTCAGCCGCGTGCCGGGAGTGGCCGGGCCCCGCGCCCCGCGCCCCGCGTCTCAGAGTCCCGCGTCCCACTCACTGTGGCGTTTGAGCTCCTTCTGCAGCTTGCTCATCTGGCTGCTCTTCATCCTGCTGCCCGGCAGCGGCTTCACTTTCTTTGGCTTCAAGGTCGTCTTCAGACTGGGGCCTGCCCTCGCGTCCACCACCTGGAGGGAAACGCTGGGTGTCGGGGTCCTGGCCAGCTGACGCTGGCAAACTGGAGGGCGAACCCCCGAAGTCGCCAGACTTACTCCCTAAAGGGGAGGGAGCGGGGAGGGGAGAAGCCTCCGCCTTGACCCTCTCTCTCTGCTCCGCGAGATTCCTGGACTCCTGCCACCGCAGAGAGAGAGACCCACAGGGGGAGTCTGGTGGTCAAGCAGTTCTCCATTTATTGGCCCCTACCCAGGGGTCCTTAGAGTACACGGGTGGGGGGTCCCACATTCTGGGGGTGCAATCCCACACACAGTGCATTGCTCAGGTAGGACTTGTACAGATGTCAGTCAACGATTTCCATGTCCTACTCGTAGGGCCCGGTTAACAATATGGGTAGGTGGGCACAGTCATGCCCCTCATTCTTGACCAGAGTGCCCGCCTGTGAGGAGTGCTGGAGCGGGACCCCTGGGTCTTTGTAAACAGGGCCAGCTCTTGCCTCCGGGGGCAGGGGATTTGGTCAAAGTCTCAGGCTAGCTGCTGAGCCCCCAACATCTGGGCGGTCCCTGCCGCTCAAAGGCCCTGCCCTCCCCGCGACCGTCAGCCCTGGGCCCTCTGCCGGGCAGCACCTGGGCAAGACCGAGCCAGGGCACCCGAGCCTTCCTAGCTGCACCTGGCCCCCCAGGTTGTTCTGATTTCAGAAAACCTCCACATTCTTGTACTTTCACTTGACCTTCACCACCCAACTGTAAAGGGCCAGTTTAAAGTGAAGGAAAACAAAGCAAAGAGGAAATTATGTATTTCCCCGTTTTTCACTTATCTCATAAATGAGCTCAAGGACAGGGGGCTGGGGCGGAGGGCAGAGATGGGCTGAGTGTCCGACCGCCCAGGGCCGGTGCTCCCCACTTCACCGAGGCCGCCCCCGCTAGCACGCTGCCCGCCACACAGCGCGGCCACCACCAGACACAGAAGGAAGCGGCCCTGGGAACCAGCCTGCGGGCCAAGCCACAGCCACACGGGCCCCCGACCTGCTGCCAAGGGCCACCGGCGCCCCTCCACGAGGCCTCGCAAGGGATGAAACAGCACGGGGTGTGGCGCCGGCCTTGCACGCGGCTGTCCCGGGTTCGATCCCCGGAACATATCCCCCGAGCCTGCCAGGAGTGGCCCTGAGCACCCAGGTGTGGCCCCCAAGAAACCAAGAAAGTGGGAAAAAGAACAAGAGTCCCACAAGAAATCTAGCGCTGTGAGGCAGAGCACAGCTGCATCCCAGCCTGGTCCCGCCCAACCCGACCCGCACGGCTGCCTGCATGGGCATGTGACTGTCTGGGGGTCACACCAACAGGCTGGGGCCTGAGGGGTCAAGCTCGGGGTGCTGGGGTGGAACCCGGGCCTGCCGTGTGCCTGAGCCGTCCTCACGGGCGCTGCCCACAGCACACAGCCGAGGGGACGGTGGGGTCAGGCCACCCGGGGCTCATCAACACAAACGTGGCCCCAGGGCCGAGCCAGGTCCAGCTTCAGGTGGCCGGGCACTGACCCTGGCGCAGCTCTGTCAGCCAGGACACGCTGCTTGTCCAGCGAGGGCCAGGGAGGTCACCCGAGCACGCCGGGGAGACAGCGAGGGTCGCACACTCACGTGGTTCCAGTTCTTCTTGGAGCCCGCGGGCAGCTTCTTCCAGCGTTTCACCAGCAGCACACAGGCGTTGCAGATGTCTCCCGAGCGGGTCTCGTGCAACCTGCCGGGAGCACAGTGTTGGGAGCCAGCACCGATGGCGAGCGTGTGCGTGTGCGTGTGTGTGTTAGGGGCAGGGCACTGGTGGAGAGCGTGTGTGCGCGCACACATGCGTGTGTGGGGTAGCTAGCGAGGGTCCCCGGGCAGGGGGTCCCCGTGCCATCATCTCCCTAACCAAGAAGCCCAAGGGCCTCCACACTCCAGAGTTCACGTCCAGCGTCCTAGACAGGCCAGTTCCAGGTCTCTGTGGTGTAGTTCTCACAAGCCAGTAACTTCTAGACCAGGGAACCAATTCTTTGTGCCACAGCTTGATCACTTGAAAGATCAGGAACGTTTTTTTTGTTTTTATAAAATGTTTTTAATTGTGCTTTTTTTTTTTTGCTTATTTTTTTTGGGGGGAAGGGTCACACCCGGCCATGCACAGGGGTTACTCCTGGCTCTGCACTCAGGAGTCACTCCTGGCGGCGCTCCGGGGACCATATGGGATGCTGGGAATCGAACCCAGGCCGGCCGCTTGCTTGCAAGGCAAACGCCCTACCCGCTGTGCTATCTCTCCAGCCCCATCAGGAATGTTCTGAATCAACAGCAAAACGTAAGGCCTAGACAGAAGAGGTCCTGGGGAGTGTGGTTCGAGTGACACAACGCCACACTCTGGGTCAAACACTGCTGGCTGCAGTTCCCCAATCGTCCAGCTAAGGAGAGCTGCAACTCAGAAGTCCTGGGGCCTGAGTGACAGCATGGGGGGGGGGGGGGTCTGCCCTGGCTTCCCCCTGCAGAGGAGGGTCCCCAAGTGCAGAGACACGAGCCCAGTTCCGAGCACTGCCATTGTGGCCCCCAAACAAAACTCACAAAGAGCAAAGCCAACGGAAACTGGGACAAGGGTCAAAAATGCGACCAAGGGCAGGACTGACCCCAGAGGCCACTGTCTGGTTCTGGCGTCTGGCTGGGCAGTGGCTCCTCTGTGGACCAAGGACGCGGCTCTGGAAGCCCCCCCGGGGGCAAGGACAGCGAGCCGGACACGCCCCTCAGCAGGCCAGGCAAAACTCTATTTCTATGGGAAAGGGGGAACAGGGGAAGGGGGGGCGGGGGGGGGGGGGGGAACGAGAGGCCCCGGGGCAGCTGTACAGGGCGCTGACGCGGCAGAGACGGGCTCACCCGAAGCAGCTCTGGAAGTCCTTCTCGTAGCGCTTGCTGTCCGTGAACCGCGAGCTGGACGACTTGGCCCTGCAGATACAGCAGCCCTCGAGACTCCGGTACATCTTTGGCTTGTGGAAACCGAACATCTTTCCTCCCGGGCGACAGTCTGCGGGCGGAGGGAGGGACAGCCGTGAGGTCTCGGCTCTGAGACCAGGGTTCTGAGCCCCTCTCGGCCCCGCCCGCAAGAAACAAGGCGGGACGGGCCTCTTAGGGAAGTTCCTGAGTGCAGTGACAAAACTCCCCCTCAGGGAGGCCTTAGGAAGATGCCCGCAGCCACACACACAACAAAGAAACACCCTAAACTTCAGCAGGGCCCCCTGCCCGGCACCTCTGCTGGAGGGGCACCCACTGGGGGACGTTCTCAGCACTGGCCGTGCTCACTGACCCTCAGAGCAAGAGACCCTGGCGCCGGCCGCCCCACGCTCCGGCAGTGGGAACGCAGAGAGCACTGATTCGGGCAGGGAGCGAGCGGGTTCTGGACAGAAAGCACTGCACAGGATGTGAACAGAGCAGCACAGGCCCGCGGGAGGCCGAGCAGGATGCCAGGAAAGGGCAGGAGATAAACGCGCCCCACGCCCCCAGAAGGGACAGGGGGCCGCGGGGACCCTGACCGCCCCGTCCAAGGCCAGCAGCAGCCCCATCTCCGTGGCCAGTCACCAAAGCACCGGCTCAGTCCACACCAGAAGAGGGACACCACGCCAGCGCCCCACAAACCCCCGAGCAGGCCCCAACTGCCGTGCGGGTCTGGGGTCCAGTTCTGGAGAGAGTGACGGGGCGAGCAGATGGGAAGGCGGACGCGGGGAACACCCGGCGGTCAGGAGAGACAGAACAGCTGGAATCTGCTTCCAAGGAAACACAAGCACGCTCGGGGCTGCGGATGAAGCTGGCCCCTCAGGGCTCCTGCCCAGAGCACCACGCCCAGGGCGGCCAGGCCGGCCCCAGGCCCCAGGAGAGGACGTGAGCAGAGGCAGGTCGCCTTCTAGGCGGGGATGGAGGTGCCCTGCACCGCGAAGGTGATCCCAGCTGCGACTCAGCCTTCCCGGCCACACCCGGGCCGCAGTTTTGAAGGACCCCCCCCACCCCCCCCCCCGGCACCCGGCACCTCCCAGAGTGTGGACAAGCCAGGCCCCGACAGCAACGGAGCTGGCCGAGTCGCTGCAGGCCTGGAGGCCGGGGAACGCCATGGCTACTGCTAACCGCAAACCAACGCCATCCTGCCCGGCCACCAGGAGCCAACCTGGAGCCAACGGTCCCTGCACTGCTGGGGGCAGGCAGGGCGGGGGGAGGGGAGGGGGGTGCAGAAACATGCAGGAAACTTGCCCAGCCGCCCCCACAACGACACGCCCCCCCTCCCCGTGCCCAGCGAGGGCTTCAGCCAGAAACGGGAGGGAGCAGCGGCCGGAGGCGTCTCCAGACACTCTGCGGCCTCCGAACCCCATCAGCCTTTCCCCAGCCTGCTCGCCCGCCTGGAGGAGGCACCTGGGCTCGCCAGGGAATCCACAGGAGGCTGGTTCGGGGTTTGTTTACAGCAACCCAGTTAAGCCACGGAGCTTTGGGGAAGCCAGAGATAAACTCAGTTTCCCACAAAAACCTACAAACCCACTAATTAAAAAAAAAAAAAAACGCCTTATCTCTGGAGGAAAACCAAGGACACAAACTGTCTCTGGAACCCAGTTCGGGGACGGGGGCAGCGCCTGGACGCCCACACCATTCCAGCTGCTCCTAGTGACACATCGTGTGCAACTGAAGGATTCTGGGGCAAGGACCTGCCTCACTCTTTCTGACGAGGACACTCTGGCACGGGGCTGTGACGGAAGCACGACCTCCCTGCGAGGGGTGGTAGAACCCTGGCAGAGAAAACGGAGCTCTGGGATAAAGCCCCAAGCCAGGAAAGATTCGGCTGTTTAAATGCTGATCGAAGCCGGCATCTGTCTGCCAGGGCTAGCGTGACCGTCGTGAACCCCTGGCTCTCCCGAGGGCCACAGACACGACACGCGCACACTTGGAGGGTGAACTTCACCAGCTCACTGTCCGGACAACGCGGGCCCTGCGGCGAGCCCGCCCGCGCGCCAACAGCACCAGGATTCACACGGTCCAGGCGTCTCCGTGACGAGCACAGTGAACGCTGGCACGGACCCGCCGCTCCCGGCTCCCCAGGGCACTTTCACTCACACCCCCTTGGCTACCGCGGCCACAGCACCGGGCTTTTAAAGCAGTTTGAGACTGATCAGCTGGGCGTGAGCGCGGCGGCAGGGAAGTCTCGGGCTGGCCCCGCCTCCCGCTGAATGAAAGGGGAAGCGGCAGGGGAGGGGCGAAGGCGGGCGGCGGGCGGCGAGGGCCCGCGTCCCCCAGGCCCCCTCGGAGCCAACACGCGGAAGCAGGAAGTGAAGAAGCTCATTCTATTTTCCCCGTCCTTTAACACTCGGGAGATTCCTACCGCTGCAAAAGTAAACTCAAAAGCGTGAGGCTGGAAGGGCGGCGAACACCCAGGAAAACGGAAAAAGTCCGGAACCCGCTCATCGAACAAGTCAGACCTCAAGGCCCCGGCGTGCTTTCCAGAACACCCACAGCTCAACATAACAAAGACCAACTTCTGGGGGCCCCAGCAGTTGCACAGCAGGGAGGGGCCGGCCCTGCACGCGGCCGACCCGGGCTCAAAGCCCTGCACCTCCTGCGGTCTCCCCGAGCACCGCCGGGAGCAATCCCTGAGCGCAGAGCCAGGAGGAACCCCGAGCATCGCCAGGTGTGGCCCCAAGCCCGCCCAAGTCTCCGAACTGTAGCCCGGGGAGGAGGCTGAGGGGTGGAGCAGACACGTGTCCGTCGCCTCCCGGAGCAAGAAGACCTGGGGCAGGAGCTGCGGAACCCGGAAAGCCCGGGGCCTTACTTTCGCTCCCCCTCACCCCCCAGCCCCCACCTCCCGCGGGGAGGGGGCAGCTCAGCAAACTTCCTCCGTGCCCACCCCAGGAGCGGCCAGCAGGAGGGCAGGAGCGGGGAGGAAGCTGGCAGGAACAAAGGCGCAGGGACGAGCGAGCAGGCGAGCACACGGGCCATTTCCTCCCCCTGCCGCCCTCCGGACTGGGGTCCCCACTTCCTCCCTTTCAAGGACCGCATCCCCCCACCCCCCGCCCCAGGACAGAGGAAGAGGCCCAGGCTGGCTGCACTTGTCCGGCAGTCCCCGCGACGCCCACCCGACCCAGAGCCCCTCCTGCAGAAGGGGTCAAGCTGGGTGTCCAGCCGGCCCCAGCTCGGAGCTCAGAGCCCGCAGAGCCGCCCCGGACCGCGCGGCGGCTCAGGGTCACCGACCGGAAATGGCCACGGGAGCCCGGCGCGACAGCCCGGGTCCCGCCGGAACTCCCGGGAGCGAAGCCGCGTGAGTCCTGGGCCACGGCCAACGGCAGCCGCGATCCCCAGGAGTCCGTCCCCCCCACAGTCCCCCGAAGCCCGGCTCCTGGAAAGAGACTCAGCTTTCCAGGTCCAGCACTAAGGCCAGCAAGGTGGACCGTCCCAAGGTGCCACTGCCCGCCTTTCGGGAGGGGGTGTGCTAGCTCCCGGCCACGTGGCTGCAGCTTCACCGGGGCCAGGAGGCCTAAGGACCCTCCTCCGGACGCACCCCAGCCCACAGCAATTCCCAAGTGGGGGGGACTTGCCCTGCACGGGGCCCACCCAGGCTCCGTCCCTGCACGCCATCGGGCGTGACCCAGACTCCCGCCTTCCGCGCCTCACCTGTCCTGCCCCCCTGGTCACAAAGGCCACCTGGCAAGCACCCCAAGCCATAGCCCATAACCATCCACCAGGAGCCCGGCTGGGCCCACCCCCCACCGTGCACGTGGGTGGGCTCAGGACAGCATCTGGACTCCTGGCAGAAGGGCAGAGCTGCCCAGCACGTGGGGCCCTGATAGTCCAGGAGCGTCCACATCCCTGCCCAACTTCTGTCTGAGCCGGGCAGCGGCCGGAACTCAGACCCTTCTAGAATTCCTTCCCCCGACAGAACGCTGGGGTGGCTTTACGGGACACCCACCCAGCACACGCGGCCGGCCCCTCACGCTGGTGTCGCTGGCGTGCGAACCCCCCTGCTCAGACACAGAACCCGCAAGCCTGACGTCACGCGGGGCCGGGAGCAGCGTGCATGGTGGGGCGTCCTGCCAACAGCACCGGCCCTGGGCGGGACGGGAAAGGGTGTCCACAACAAAGGTGGGCATTAAAAAGCCCATGTTTCAGGGGGCCAGGGCACTCTGCAGAAGGCACCGAGGTGCGACCACCCCCACCCCGCACTGCAGGTACCCACAGGAGAGAGATCCCAGAGCAGAGCCAGGAGCGAGCCCTGAGCACGCCGGGCATGGAGTGGAAGAGTAATGATCTTACAAAGCTGGTGTTTCAAAAGGAGGGATTTTCCCCTTTGAATCCTTTTAGCCTGGGCATTTGGGCGGAAAACGGGGAGGTCTAAAGAAAAGGTAAACTGAGTCAACTGCTTCCAGGAGCGATGACTGGCAAAAGCAACCCGAGGCAGCAGCGTTGGGAGCGACATCGATGACACACTTCGCTTATCTGGGCAGGCGTGTGTGGGGGGAGAGGACAGGGAAGAATCTCGGCCGGGGCTCCCGCCGCGGAGGGGACACCCCGAGAGCGCCCCTGGGAGCGGGCAGCCCCGGAACTTCAAAGCCCGCCCGGCCCGGCCCGGCCCAACTGGAACTTCTGCACTGCAGGGGCGCAGCGGAGCAGCTCCCGGGCGGGACAGCGAGGACCCCCTGCCCTGCCCTGCCCTGCCCTGCCCGGAGCCCCCTGCCCCAAAGCGTGACTCAGGACGGCCGGGGGTCCTCGCGCGCCGCCCCCCAGACCCACCCACCCACACCCGGGCCGCGGTCAGCGCCGGGCCAGCACGCGGGCGCGCCGGGCCGGGGCGCGTCCACTGCCCCGAGTTGTCAGGACAACGGCGGCCGCGCGGCCGGGCCCGGCGGGCAGGTCGGGCTGCGGGGGCGCGGGCGGGCGGGGGTCCCGCCACCTGCTGCACGGCCGAGACCCTCGGGCGGGCGCGGGCGCCGGGCGGGCGGCCCCCTCCCGGCTGGACCTGCAGCCGCGGGGCACCGTCCACGTGCGGGACCCCCGATCGCGGCCACGTGCGTCCGGGACCCCGGGTCCGCGTCCACGTGCGGGACCCCGGCCGCGTCCACGTGTCCGGGCCCCGGAGCCGGGCCGGGCCGGCGGGCCGGACCCCGCGGCCCCCAAGGTCACGCGGCCGGGCGCCAACAGGTGCCGGACAAAGCGCGGGGCCCGCACGCGGCCCTTTGTCTCCCGCCCGCCGCGACCCCCCGGCGCCCGCGCGTCATTGTCCCGCGCACGTGCTCGCGCCGGGCCGGGGGCGGGCGGGCCGGGCCGGGCCGGGCCGGGGTCGGGGCCGGGGCCGGGGCCGGGGTCGCCGCCGCGCCCGGCCCGCCCGCCCGCGCGCCCCCGGCCCGCCCGGCCCCCGGCGCCCCGGCCCGCCGCCCCCGCCCGCCGCCCGCCCGCGCCCCCGGCCCGCGGCCCGCGCACTCACCGCGCCGACGCGCCCCCCGCGGCGTGCACGCTCGCCAGGCCCCCGCGCCGCACCTCGGGGTGCAGTTGCCACCGCGGCCGGGAAGGTGCAGCCTCGGCGCCTCTGCGCACGCGCGCCGCCCGCCGCCCGCGGCGCTCCCCGGGCTCATTTGCATGCGGGCGCGCGCGCGCCGGCGGGGGCGGGGCCTGGCGGGCGCGCGCGCCCCCGGCGCCTCTATTGTCCTTTTAAGGGGCGACGCGGCGCGGCGCGGGAAAAGCGGCGGCCGCGGCCCGGGGCGGGGCCTGCCTACTACGGTGACGTCACGTAAACAAACGCGCGCCGCGGGGGCGCGGGGCGGGCCGGGGCCGGGGGCGCCGCGCCTGGGTGGGCGTGGCCGCGCCGGGAGGAGCGGGGCCCGCCGGGAAGGGCGGGGCGGGGGCGGGGCCACAGGTGGGGGCGGGGCCTGCGGGACGAGTCCGAGCAGCGCTGGGAGGGGCGTGGCTACGCTTGTGTGGGGTGGGCGTGGCCGATCTGGGGGCGGGGCCTGCGGGACGAGCCCGAGCAGTGCTGGGAGGGGCGGGGCTACGCGTGTGTGGGGTGGGCGTGGCCGACCTGGGGGCGGGGCCTGCGGGACGAGCCCGGGCCGCGCTGGGAGGGGCGGGACCTTGCTCGGGCGGGCGTGGTCTAGCGCGAGTGGGCGTGGTCTGCCGGCCGCGCACCTGCGGCGTTTCCGGCCCGCGGAGGTCGGGCTGGCAGGGGCTGGCGCTCAGCGCGTGCGTCCAGCATGGGGGCTCGGAGTGGCGCTGCGGCTTCTGCACCCGGGGAGAGCCCCCCGCCTCCGGGCCCCCACCCTTGGCACGTGGCGGGACCGGCCCCAGAGGGCAGCAACCTGCAGGCCAGCTCCCACCAGACCCTAGCTGGGCAGTTGCGAGCAGTGACCAGGCACTGACCGCTCTCCCCGGAGGGCCCTGCCCGGCAGCGTCGCGGGGGCTGGGCGGCCTGCGCACGTGCGCGCGCGCGCGTGGCCAGCGACGATGGACACGCAGTGACCACTCGGACGGTGGCATGTCCCCAGGCGCTGTCCTGGATCCCAGCGGCCGGCCTGAGCGGACACCGCCTCGCCTCGCCTCGGATGTTCGGGTCCCAGCGCCCTGCAGAGCCCGCGAGCCCCCCGCCCCCTGCCCTGCGTCCCGGCTACCTTCTTGCCCGGCCCCTTCCCAGGAGCGCTCCGGGGCTGTCCAGCCCAGACGCAGCCGCTCGTTTATAACGGACCTCCCGGAGATTATTTCCGATTTGTACATTTTATGATCACGTAAGCATGTTTAATGAAAATACAGCTTGAGTGCCGTTTTCTCGCAAGTTAGTGTGAAGAGTGTCTCCTGTAACCGGGGAGCTCGTCCAGGGTCATCCTGGTCAGCAAGTGGTGTTCACTGCAGCGTTCTGGATGGATCCCAGCTGCTGCCCCAGCACCTGCGAGCAAGCCCCTCAGTCCTCCACGGCGGGCTTGTCTCTCTGAAGGACGAAGCCCACCCTCGCACAGAAACCCACCCACCGCCTTCCCGTTCTCCTTCTGAACCACTCCTGATCCTCCCAAAACCAGAGGCATGGCCCCAAGGTGCCCCCATCTCTGTCGCTGGCCTTGGCTCCATTCAGGAAGGACCCCTCACTCGGAGACCCCTCAACAACCTCCTTACCTAAGTAGTCCCGCCCCGTAGCCTACGTGGACCAGCAGGGAGAACGTTGGCTTTGCACACAGCCCGTGTGGGTTCGATCCCCGGCATCCCACATGGTCCAAAGAGCACCACCAGGATTGATTCCTGAGTGCAGAGCCAGGAGTGACCCCTGCGCAACACCAGGTGTGGCCCACAAACCAAATAAATAGTCCCACTCCATTTTCCATCTTTGAAAAGGGGGCAGGAGAGAGAGGACAGTGGTCAGGGCACTGGCCTTGCACACGGTTGACACCGGCTCAGTCAGGTTCGTTAGCCTGTCAGGAGTGAACTCAGCACCAGAAATAAGCTCTGAGCACCAGGGGTTGCGACCCCAAAATCAAGAAAAGAAAGAGAAGGGATAAGTGGGAGGGAGAGAGAGAAGGGACAGAAGGAAGAGAAAGATTGTAATGTCTAGATTTGTATTAGAGTATTAAAGCAGACTTTATTGTTTCTTTTTTTTTCCCACTTTTTATGGGGGGGGGTCACACCCGGCGATGCACAGGGCTTACTCCTGGTGGTGCTCAGGGGACCATATGGGATGCTGGGAATCGAACCCGAGTCAGCCACGTGCAAGGCAAACGCCCTACCCGCTGTGCTATGGCTCCAGTTCCGCTCACGTTTGTTTTTAAAATCAAGGCTGATGCCCTCATAAAGCAGGTCCCAAGCAGCTCAAAGCATTTTGCTGAGCTCAGGAAAGTTAAATACCGCATTTAGCGTGGGGTTAGGTTCCTTAGCAGAAAATGCCTGAAAGACTAAAGGTGCCTCACATCCAAGCATGTATGGTATTTTGTTACTAATTTGCCTAAATCCATTTGAAGTTCACATAGCAAGTGGTCAGAGCAGTGGGGTAATCTTAAGCTCCGAGGAACAGAATTGGGCCATTTGATGGAAAAATACTCCAGCCACCGTTAAGAGCTGCCAGAGAAAGATATCTGTTACTTAATCAAAATCAACTTTTCGAATTTCTGAACTTCTCCTTGGTGTGTTCCTAGAAAGAGTAATCTCTTTATTCATGGGAAAATTAAGCTTTAGGTAACTGTCTTGTGATAATTGAATAACATACTTGAACCATTTCCAGGTAGAATAGTAATATTACTGGTAACGCTCTGCTAAGAAAGACAAGGGAGCTCCCAGATAGGAACCAGAGAGATCTTACTGGGACAAGACTCCAGACCCCTCCTCTGAGCAAGGGGGTCTGGGGCATACTTGGCAGGAAGGAGTGTGAGAAATCAGAAGCCAGAATGTCATTCTGGGGGCTGGAGCGAAAGCACAGAGGGTAGGGCGTTTGCCTTGCACGCCGCTGACCCGGGTTCCAGTCCCAGCATCCCATATGGTCCCCCAAGCACAGCCAGGAGTGATTCCTGAGTGCATGAGCCAGGAGGAACCCCTGAGCATCCTGAGCATCGACAGGTGTGACCCAAAAAGCAAAAAATAAGTAAATAAAAATATTTTTTTTTTAAAAAAAAGAATGTCATTCTGGCCTTGTCCCCTGCAGCAGGTGATAAAGCCCCCCTGGGGGAGGTTCTATCCTGACCCCCACTACCGACCACTTGTCCTTATCTGCAAGACAAAGACAGGCTTTGGCAGTTACAGGCTCTGCACGGCCCCTTTCTCAGGCCCCTTTCTCCGAAATGGCCAGCGGCTCAAGCCAAGTAGAACCACCCAGGTGGGGGCCGGAGAGATACTCCAGCAGGCTGACCCGGGAATCATTTCCGGCACTCCTGACCCCTGCCCGGAGGGAGTCCTAAGCACCGCAGGGTGTGGCCCCAAAACTAAACCGAGTGAAATGAAAAGATGCCCCAGGCCCTGTCTCCTTTCTCTTGCTGCCAATGCCTTGGGCTGAGAGACGTAAAACACTCGTCTGTCTTCCCTGTGGTCCAGCCCTGAGCACCTCCAGCTGAGCCCCGAGCAGCACTAGGTCTGACCCAAGAATCAATCGTCACTAATTAAATCAAGTAAAGTAAAATACATCGTGCCAGGGCCCATGGAGAGAGAGACAGGAACCCCGGGTTCCATCCCTGACATCACATATTTCCTGAGCACTGCTGGGAGCAACCCTGGAGCACTGAGTTAGGGGTAACCGCTGAACACTACTGGGTGTGACCTATCAAGCACCAAAAAAGAAACCCCAAAATAAATAAACGAACCAGCTTACAGCCCAGTGACCAGTGGAAAGAGAACATGTGTGCCTGGCACGGTGGTGTCGGTCATCCTGAAGGACGCGCACCTGGCCGAGTGCGGCTGACTCTGGGGCCGCCCACGGATCTTTGCGGACCCCCATGTCTCCCGATACCCACCTCATCTCTCACAGCCACCATTCCTCAGTCCAGACATGGAATTGGAGCTCGAGAAGGAAGAGCAGAGTTGAGGGGGGGCCGAGAGGGCCCGGACAGAGAGGGCGCCCCAGGCTCACCCCACCAGGCCCCCCGCCCTGCAAGGCCCCTGACTTAGCAGATCACAGTGGGGGGAGCTGGGGACTGTTTCGTGTTCCCGTACAGCGCGGAGGGATGGCCCCAGAGTACTGAGTGGCCACAGCACTGACCGTCCGCGGGAAGGACCGAGCAGTGCAGGAATGCGGCTGGACAGGACGGGCCGTCAGATATGGAATTTCTCAGCCGAGCGCAGCCCCTCGGGGAGACCCATTTTCCTCTCTTTCACTTCGTCTCAGACAGGTCCCTGTGCCGTGTGACCAGCCCAGCTCTGTGAATGTGTGTGCACACACGTGAGTGTGCGTCCGTGTGCGTGTGCGTGACAGAGCTAATGTTTTATTTACACTGTCTTTGTGTTTGGTCTCGGGTCTCCCCAGGCGGTGCTGGGGCTCTCTCCTGGCTGGCCTCTCCCGGCTGTCCCCGGGAGGACTCAGGGACCCCATGTGGTCCCAGAGGTCAGACCCAGGTCTGAAAGCGGGCGGCATGTTAATCTCAAACCTCCAGCTCTGTGGCTGGAGCAATAGCACAGCGGGTAGGGCGTTTGCCTTGCACGTGGCCGACCCGTGTTTGATTCCCAGCATCCCATATGGTCCCCCAAGCACCACCAGGAGTAATTCCTGAGAGCAGAGTCAGGAAGAACCCCTGTGCATGGCCAGGTGTGACCCAAAAAAGAAAATTAAAAAAAACACAAAACCTCCAGCTCTGCCTCGCCCGCCTTTCAGCTTCACTTGCAGTGTGGAGGAAGAGGATGGGGGAGGCACTGGCCCTGCAGGTAGCTCACCTGAGCCGGACCTTGCGGTCCCAAGAGCCCTCGGGAGTGACCCTGAGCGCAGACACTGAGTCCTGAGCACTGCCGAGGAGTTGGCTGTGAGGCATTTTACAGAGACCCTGGCGTGAGGGCACAGGCCATCCACACCCAGCCCAGGGTCAGTCCCTGCCACCACACTGCGTGGCCCTGAGGTCTCCCCACAAGACCTTTGCCAGGTGGCTGAGTGTCCCCAGAAGTGCTCCCTGAAAAACACAAAAATAAAGAGGCTGGTCGGAGTGGGGTCAAGATCTACCTACCTCCCAGGGCTCCCCGAGGAACACCAC